ATGACTTTTCTTGCCACAGTTGTTAAGTGAATCACTATAGTTGCTAAGTGAGTAACACGGTTGTAAGGTGAATCTGGTTTCCCCATTAGATACGTACAGTCAAAACAATTGTGGCGAACAGCACCAAAAAGGTGTTTGAAGCCACCTGCAGCCTGCAGGGTGTCCATTCCCAAGACCTACAGTGATTCTCCTGCCTGAAGGATGAATAAATCAGTGGCAATTAGACATAAATGTTCTCCTAGTTACTCATCATGTGTATCTATTGCCATCTCCTGGAGAAGTTATTGTAATTCCACCATTTATTTATTTTACATTTATTTATTTATATATCAGAGACTGCTCATCTCACTCACTTATGGATGAACTCTGAAAAAAAATCTCTAGGGCTGTGTTAAAAAAAAGAAACCGGTCTTAAATCAGCCACAACAACAGAGGAAATATTTCATTCTGGCTTCCGAAGTGCACAATCACAATGTGCCAGTCAAACTTGGGATGGATAAAAACAGAGTAATAGTAGTTATGATAATAACAATAACAACAACCTTAAGCTGCTTCCCAGAAACTTTATTACTTTACTGACTCCTTGAGAGAGAGAAAAATTAAGAACAAAATCTGTACTGCTGGTGGCCCTATCAGGATTCCACTTAGATCCTGTAAAATAATAACAACATCAACAATGGTTTGTGTGTGTGTGCAGGGAAATTTCATTTCTCTCTCCATTTGTACTGGGGAAGAAAACAGTGGGGCCAGTAAGTTCCACTCTCTAAATGGGGTGAGTTAGGAGTTTGTCTCTATGCCAATGTGTGTCTTGTCTGAAATGGTATAGGTCTCTTGCTTGAGCAGGGGGTTGGACTAGAAGACCTCCAAGGCCCCTTCCAACTCTATTATTCTGAAGGCGGTATCTGCTTATACGTGAGAGTTGACAAAGGGAAGACTTTGAGTCAATGTGGATCCCTGGTGATTGTCTGAACTGGTCCCTGCAGTTTTCTCAGCAAGATTTTTTTGAAGTGTTTGCCTTGGCCTCCTCCTCCTTAGAACTGAGAGAGAAAGACATTTGTCCGAAATGGTGTAGGGTTTCCTGCCTGAGCAGGGGGTTGGACTCGATGACCTCCAAGATCCCTTCCAACTTTATTATTATTATGATCATCGCACAGTCAGCCAGATGTTCAGACTGGATTTGGCATTTTGTCTACCTATCGAGTCCTTACCAAGGACCTGGGATAGGCAGACGTGGATGTTTGATGGTATTACAGATATCGTTGCAGGATGGAAGCAGTTGTTGTTGTTGTTGTTGTTGTTGTTATTGTTGTTGTTATTATTATTATTATTATTATTATTATTATTATTATTATTATTATTATTATTGTCACCCAGCTGGCTTTGTACCTCAGGCAGGATTAAAACTCACTGTCTCCTGGTTTCTAGCTTGGTCAAGTGTAGCGGTAGGCAACCTTGGCTCTTTTATGACTCGTGGACTTCAACTCCCAGAATTCCTTAACCAGGATACCAAATTGGACCCGGTAAGTTACTTAGCATAGCCCCAAATAACCTGGAGTCGTTCTGGATTAAAACTACCAGCCTCTAGCCCCAATGGTAAATTATGACGTTTGGACAACATCTTATTTCTCTTTCCCTTTTTTAATACATTGTGTGAATACAACCAGAATGTGAGATATGCGTAATAACAAAATGTGAGAATGTTCTGTGTATCTTTATGTTTGTTTGTTTTTTATTTGTTTCCCACCTTTATTATTTTTATAAATAACTCAAGCTGGTGAACATATCCAACACACCGTCTTCCTTCTATTTTCCTCACAACCACCACCCTATGAGGCGGGTTGGGTTGAGAGAGAGTGATTGGCCCAAAGTCACCCGGCTGGCTTTCATGGCTAAGGTGGGACTTGAATTCATGATCCCTGCTTTCTAGCCTGATGCCTTAACCACTAGGCCAGGGGTAGGCAACCTTGGCTCTTTTATGACTCGTGGACTTCAACTCCCAGAATTCCTGAGCCAGCCTGAGTTGAAGTCCACGAGTCATAAAAGAGCCAAGGTTGCCTACCCCTGCACTAGACCAAATTGGCTCTCTTAGTATTTCCTTGACCTCCTGGGAGAAAAGCGGGATATTATGCTACAAATGGATCAATGAAAGTGGTGCCCTGTAGACCCAAGACATCCAAATCTCAAGGGTCAAAAAGGGAATGATAAGCATGTTGTTGCAGGTAAATTTTTCATCTTCCCATAATATATGGTTTTGTTTCCCTGAGGAATGAGCTTTGAGATGTGATCAGTTTCCAAGAAGTGTTTACTGTAGTCAGACAAAATTCCCAAACAGAAATGTGTATCAGATGAAGAATCTGGTGATTATTTTAGACGCCCTTGTAGCCTACTAAACATGGACACTTACACTTCCTTTTTTACAACCCTTTGAATGTTCTTACCAGTTTCTTTTACCATATCTATTCACTCCCTCTCTCTAGGCCCTGCTGCATACATGTCTTCTCTTTCTTTGACCTAACAGTGGATGTTGAGTCTTGCATTGACCTATCCGCCTCTCGTGAATTTCTTCCTCTTGGAATTTCTTCTGCAGAAGGTAGAAAATGCTGTCTGAATTTCATACCTTAACCCATTGTTTCTCATCCTTAGCAACTTTAAAATGTGTGGACTTCAACTCCCACAATTCCCCAGCCACCAAAAGAGGTTTGGCAGATCTACTCTAATAGCTAGCATTTCGATATATGTAAAATGAGCCGCCTACTTAATGTGCCTTACTTTAGAGTTGAGATCAAGCCATATATTTTCTTTTTTGTCTCATTTTTCAAACCAGGCCATCTCTCACCACTAACTGGCTGGGCGGTTGGATTCCCTCCCTTCCCCGCCCGTTTCCATAAGAGCACATTTTCTTTAGTTTTCAAACATGACCTCCCTTTGTAATTGCCAAGCACCCAGATGAAATATTTGTTTTTTCTAAGATGGCCTATTTCATATCCTGGCCTTTATTCTGCTCCTGAAGAAGTTTTCCTGTTTAGTCAATCTTTTTTTTTTCTGAAACAACTGTTTACCCAATTCTCTCATTTCTAGTTTTCACAGTGTGTTTTTGGAAAGCTTTGTTTCAACTGTTGGATGTTGAAAACTGACAAAACTCCACCTGACCTCTGCCCAGTTGGTTAGAGAAATGGTGAAGATAAAAACCACCTTAGAACAACAGCTTTGCTGCCGTGTAAATTACTAATAGGACATTTAGCCTATGTTTTTTTGGGGGAAAAAACTATAATTGAGTTAATACTCAACAAGGAAGAAGAAAATAGGCAGGGAGGAGACATAAGGGCTGAAGCTGATGAGGCAGAACCTTAATGTAAACATTAAGCAGATATTCTTTCCCATAGAATAACCCACAGTTTCTTTAGCAAGGAAAGAGGGAGGGAAGCTCAGACTAGACCAGGGGTAGGCAACCTTGGCTCTTTTATGACTCGTGGACTTCAACTCCCAGAATTCCTGAGCCAGCCATGCTGAGGGGAAAGGGAGAGGTTTCCAAGCTGAGCCATGCTGGCTCAGGAATTCTGGGAGTTGAAGTCCACGAGTCATAAAAGAGCCAAGGTTGCCTACCCCTGGACTAGACTCTCTATGTAAACACAAGAAGGCCAAGTCTGACACCCCTGAATGTATTTGCGCCTTGTCTGGTCTTCCCAGGCAACAGCTGCCACTTTGAGAAGATTTGAACTCTACACCTGTGGGTCTAGTTGTTTGGGCCTGACAATTACTAGAGGAAGGAGATTATACTTGGTGATGGAGTAGAGAGCATAAATTTTGGCTTTTCATAAATCAGTTTCATTTAATTGTACCTGGTTGGCTTTAAGCTTTAAGCCAACTTCATGTCTTGTGTTGTGTTCTCCCTTCCACTAGTCTAACCCATTAGACTCTCCTCAAATTTGGGATCCATTAAATATATTAAATTACAACTCCCATTTAACTTGCTAATCTATCAGTGCTGCCTTGGGAGATGTAATATATTTGGTTGATAAAGGACTGAGAACTTACTTAAAAATTTCTCATCCTAACTATCCAACAAAACAGTGACAAAAAAACCCACAAAAATATATGGCTGAAATAGAAGCAATTTGGAGTACTCTAGGATGGATTTTGGCGTGATGGCACAGTGGTTAAAATGCAGTATTGCAATCTGACTCTGCTCACTGCCAGGAGTTCGATCCTGACCAGCTCAAGGTTGACTCAGCCTTCCATCCTTCCGAGGTCGGTAAAATGAGGACCCAGATTGTTGGGGGCAAATATGCTGACTCTGTAAACTGTTTAGAGAGTGCTGCAAAGCACTATGAAGCAGCATATGAGTCTAAGTGCTATTGCTATTGCTGTTTTGTGTGGATTTACACAAAGAACTAGGGGTTAAATTCAGTTTTGATATCACCCCACCCCACCCCAAAAAACACAGTCCTAAACTCCAACCTCAGAATTCGTAAAACTTTTGCACCAAATTCCAAATTATGGATCTTGAGGCTCTGATGAAACACAGAGCAGATCCTGTGCATCCATAATTTGCCTCCCCAACATGTTATGAAAGAAAGGTAGGGAAAGTGCTTTGGAGCTGGAACTCTACCAAAAGATGTTATATTTTCCCATACCTGAAATATAGAGTTACTTTATTTTCATAACAGTACTCATCAAAGGGGCATTTCCAATTTTAGTAGAAAGAAAATTCAAAAGGATTGCTATGTATACAAGATCATATTCCCTTCCCTTCCCCCTCCCAAAAAAAATCATTATCAAAGCATATATTCAGTGGTGGGATTCAACCAGTTTGCGCCACTTCAGCAGAACCGGTAGCTAATTTTTTGTTGCCCAGGCCCAGAATGGACTTCCGGAAGCGGCATCCACACAGAGAACCGGTTATTCACATATTTGAATCCCACCATTGCATACATTGTGCTTTGTTCAGATCCCTTTAAAAGTAAAAGCAAAAGATCAAGGATGGTGTTTCTTTTACCACCCCACAATCTTCCTTAATGGGGTCTTTATTTTTTTTCAATCTCCAGGAAAAACAAGAAAAGGTAAGCTTAGATATTTCTGATCAAGATTATATTTCTGATCAATCAAATCTCTCTTCAGAGTCTGAGACATCCGAGAGAGAACGCTCACTCGTTTGAGGTGGGGTAGGGAGAGTTGGAATAATGGAAGTGATGGATTCCTCCAGTGAAGAGGGGAAGGGAAGGCTCTCTGCTTCATTTGGTTGAGCAGAAGGGATGGCAGGGGCCATCTGCAGAGACGGCTCTAACAAAGTAGGGACAGCAGATCTTCTTGTTGGCGGTGTGATGCTCTTCCTTGGTGAACTGGTGACTGAAGCAGGTTCCTCCCTTGGGGGATCCAGTAGCTCCTTTAGAGAAGGAAACCAAGAGAAAAAATCCTCTGGTGAAGGAGGCTCAGATGTTGGGGAACCGGAGAAAGCCTTTATTAAAGGCTCAAAAATCTTGGGCAAGTCAGAAAAGGAAAAGTCATCCTCATCAAGGATGGTCTCCGATTCACCAGCCTCATAATCTTCTTCAACGGCTCTTTTAACAAGGAGACTTAATAGGGCCAGAGAACCTTCCTCCTCATCTGCAATCATCTTCAGATTTTCTTCTTCAGCAATGCTGGGTTTTGAGGTGTTTGGAGATCCCCAAACAGTAATTCCTTGCTCCTTATTGACTCCCTCTGTTCTGTTATCTTGTGGGGAGTCCAGGTCTTCCAGGTTGGGTATAATAGCTCCAATATTATCCCAGGAGTCATCACCTTCAGTCAAGTCCATCTCGTTGGAATCGACTTCCAATTCGTTGGGTTTGAGGTTGTATTTCTCTGTTCCTGATCCATTGGCCACAGTTGGGGTTACAGCAACAGCTTCCCCGAGAGGCACTTGAATGCTCATGGATATCACACCTGGGAAGAATTACAAAGGAGAAATATTATAAAGTGATAGATCTATAAACCAAGCAACAAACAATTCAATAGCACTTGCCTATTATGAGTCGTTAAAACTCCTGTTCATATTTGTAGAAAAGTACTCTGATCCAACAGCAGTTGAATAGGAAATATCTTCATTTGTGTAATCTCCTGTCAAATGGAAGCTTTGTATTGCTCTTTTCTTAATTTGGGTAATTGTTAACATAAATTATCCAGAAACTTTTTTAAAAAGAATTGCAAAGCATCCTAATTTTATTGTTTGACACATCAATGCTCATAATGCAGGCTCTTAAATGAAAATGTAATCCCTTTTCTTGGTGTAACTATTTGTCTACATTTTTTTTTTTTTTTTTCTACAAACTTTTCTACATATTATTGATACAGAAAACATGAAAGCAGCCAACACTTCACATGATGCTGTGTTTATGCTTGTTTGGTCAGCGGGGGAAAAACCCGCAAATTCAATTCATTAAATTGGTCTCAGAATACTTTCACATCCCTACAGGTAGTCTTCGACTTAGGACTGTAATGGAGCATATGCATTATGGTCTTTAAGTCATGATGGTCGTAAAGCATGTCACCCACATGACCAACCCAGTTCTATGATCTTGTTGGCATCAAATTGAGTTGGTCATGTGAATGCTACAGTCATTAAGCAAGGCGGCTGTTTGTTATGGATTGGTTTTGCCAAAAGCTGGAAGTAAATGACAGTTTTTGGTACAAATGTAATAAAACATGGTCAAATGACCACGGGATGCTGCAAACAGTCATAAATGCAGGGTGGTTGACGAGCACCTGATCTGCAGTCACGTTACCACAGGGGGAGGGGAAACTGTCGAAACTTCAAAATTTGTAAGTAAGGAGAGGTCCATCGTAACTTCAAACTGTCGCTAAGCAGCCAGTCATAAATTGAGGACTACCTGTAATCAGGTCCAATTATAGGACTTTTTCCTCCCAAGTCTTCATGATATGAAGCAGGATTAATTCTGCTGATCTTCAAGTAAATAAAAGCAATGTCCCAGGAGACTTATTCCAAAGTACGTTGCTTCTCCAGTTAAGCAGGTATGTTTCCCTCTCACTACCTCTACGATGCAGTTATTATTGATGCTCTAGGCAGCAACCCACACACCTCCAGCTACTCTAACTGGTTGCTTAGGACAGCAAAGAATATAAGCCTACTTTGTGTTTCCAGCCAGTGTTTCTCAACCTCAGCAACTTTAAGAAGTATGGACTTCAATTCCCAGAATTCCACATCTCTAAAAGTTCCTGAGGTTGAGAAACACTGGACTGACCTAATGCCTTTTTCTATCAGATAGATTATTGCTCTTCTCATTTAACAACTAGGAAACACAGGCTGGGGTAGAGAAAGGATCAAGATCTTCACAATTCTTAAGAAGTCCCCAGTGGGCAAGGATGGGATTTGGCCTGTTCTAAGTCTTAGTTTAATGCAAACTTCATCAATCCTTTGAAATGATTCTTAGCTGCTCTATAGCAGTGTTTCCCAACCTTGGCAACTTTTTTTTATAACAAATTTTATTAGTTTTCCAATTTAACATCCACGTATTTAGAAAGCAACATGGTGACCGGGTAATCAATAGTTCAGTAACAGCATTTTTAGTACATGTCTCAGGTTACATTGTCAAAAATTCCTTCTCTATTTCCCGTTAACATTTGATATAACATAGTAATATCAAAGTAATAACAAAGTAATACTAGTTAAACTAGTAAGTATTACTAGTAAGTTTCTAACCATAACAAGCTCAATTAAAACATTTGTCAATCTATTTTTTGCTTATACATATCCATATCCTGTTTTTAAATTTTACCTAATTCTTAATTTCTAATTACAGTATTCCAATTTTAACCTTTAACATCCATAATATATTCAAATTTCTGGTAACCCAAATTTCCTTTATTTCACTACATATGATAGTGAAATAAATTGCAATTGCAATACACATATTACTTACTTAGATATATTCTTATTTTATTTCATAAATTTGAAGTGAATTCCCCAGCCAGCCATGCAGCAGCTTTTTCTATGTCCACATCACCTGGCTAGGCAAGTTATACCTGCTCAAAATCTGCTCATTGTGTGAATATTAAAGGCTGCTTGGAGCACTTCTTTTCACCAAGAAAGGGAGATTTCATTGAAGCAAGTAATTAAAGAAGTGGGAGTGTTGAGTGACTCAGGCTGAGCATTCCATGGCAAAGCCAAGGTTTTATCGGTTCAATTTCTGCCTATCACAATGTTGTAAAATGCACAGAACCCTCAGCAGAAAAATTAAGACAGGTTTTATTTTGCATGTCTACTTAAAATTATAAAGTAGGACACAAACCAACGCAAAGCGGAAATCACGGGGTATAATTAGCAGGATATGTACAAACAAATAATATATGAACTGACGATGTAGGCAGTGGAACATATTACAGGTTCTCCTTGTTTAGAACCACAATTGGCACTGGCAATGCAATCATTAAGCAAAGCTGTCATTAAGTGAAACCACAACTTATGATCTTACTTCAGCTTTCTTTTCCGTCACATACCTATAAAGGTCATAAAATGTGTGGATTGGTTATAACTGCAAACGGTTGCTAAAGGAGGCAGTTGCTAAATGAGGACTACCTGGACTTTCTTTGGCATTTGTATGCTTTGATTACAAATGTGTTATCTAACAACCTTTCCCAAAATTAGTTAGAGTCTTGCTGTAGTAACAATAATGATATAAAGTAAGAACAGAACCAGGAAAATAAATATCTATCTACATTCATGCTGAGCGGGGATGATGGGATTGTAGTCAAGCCCATCAAAAGCCCTTGGTTTGGGAAGGCTGGTTAAAGAAGAATAAAGAAGACAAAGCAGTATATTGTTCTCTTAACCATAAATTAAATGGGCTTTGGAGAACTTCCCCCCTCCCAGTTTATCAAAGGCGATTACCTAAAGTTATCACAATGAGAAATAAGTCTTGCAAACAATTTTGTTGAACCCCAACAGTTAAGAAATTAGGGAGGGGGGTTCTACCTTTGCCATTAATCTCTAACACATACATCAACAGTGCTTAGTTTATTTTGTATTTCATTTTGAATCACATTTAGGAATTCCACAGATGGCCTTGATAAGAAAAAGAAAGCTTTGTGCAGTTTACTATGGCAATAATGGAAGTTAATTCTGAAAGCAAAGCTACTGGGTGAGGTATAGTGTAAAACTGAAGTCAAGTAGCTTTGACTCACAGCCTTGACCCTTGAGAGACATAAGAATGTTTAAAATCTTGCTTTGTCAGGCTTCAAAAGGATTCTGATTGTGTCTCCCAGGTTCTAAAATCTCAAGTAACATTCTCCGTAAATATTTTTTTCTAGTAAGTATCACTTATAGAACTATTGGGCCCCACCTTGAAACCAATTAATTTGTTTGTCTCTTTTAGCCTTTCTTTACTGGGGAAACTCAGCACCCAGGAATTCCTATTGGCACTGCTGACAGAAATTAGGGCCCCATGGAACAAGAGTCCATCAATCAAAGTATAAGTGAAGGATTGTATTTTTGTTTTTATTTTTATTTTTTTATTATTTTTATTTTTCCTTTTTTCCACTGTACAACAAAAATAAAACTGTAAAAATACATTTTTTTCCCTTAACAAAACTGTGTTATACATCTTCTATATATTATTTACAATTTATTTACATCAGTATTTTTGTTTTTAACGTGCCCACCTTAAGACATTAAAATCCAAAGCATCTAGATCAGTGTTTCTCAACCTTGATAACTCTCAGATTTCTGGGAATTCGAGTCCATGCATCTTAAAATTGTCAAGTTTGAGAAACACTGATCTAGATGGAAGGGAATAAAAAAATCTGTTTCTAAGCCATTTTGAACCTGAAAATCTAATATTCAATATACCATGTTTTGTTTCTGCTTCTAGCATTTTTTTAATTTTATTTTACTGGCTACATATAAAAATTGCTGAAAGTTAAGTTTATAGCTACAGGTAGTTTTAGTGAGCTCTTTAAAAAAATCTGATCCAAAAGGAAGGAAAATAGAAGCTTTTTCTAAGTTATCTTTAGGATTTTTTTTCCTTTTACAATTATTCAACATTCCATGAGTAGATTAACGGCCTTGCCCTTTGCATCTTCACTCAGACGTAATGCCCATTTCCATTCTTGCCAAATCTTATAGACTCCTAAATCTAAAGCACATCAGATAAAGTTGAACCCAGCCAGAAAACTTTTAAAAAAAAATAGAGGTAAAATACTTTCTCACTAGGCACTTATGTTCAGAGCAGCATGGGATATTTAGAAACACAAATTACATTGTTCAAATTGGACAGGTTGCAGAAAGCATAGTTGAAGAGTTGTTTTTTTGGTCCAAGGCCTAATTTTTCCTTGCAACATCAACCCTGCAAAGTAAGCTGGGCTGAGAGAAAGAGTGTAGTCCCAAATTGCCCAATGAGCTTCTGTGATTCAGGTAGGACTGGAACCTTGAGGGCAAATAAAGTCAAAACTTGGGTGGAGGAGAAAATAGCTGTATCTGATGCCTGCTAAGATTGCAGGCTAGTGGTTCAGATAAGCAGTGGAGAGACCCAGCATCTAGACCCCCATAATAGCTGCATAAAACATCCTTGGATGTTATGGGGTCAGTCTCTCTCTCTCTCAGCCCAAGAGCAGAGTGGTGGAGTGGGAAAGTCCAGCCTGAGTCACAAAGCTGTGGTGGGAAAAAAAAATAAGGGCAGACTATGCACGCCACTTAGAACTCCTGGGAAAGATGGCATAAGAATAATAACTTCAGAGTAGCTTAGGGTACCTACGGTTATTGGTTTTTTTTAATTAAAATAAATAAAGGATTGGCATTCTTCAAAGCCTCAGCCTCTATTTAGAAGGATGCCCCAGGTGTTCTTAGAGAATGGAAATGGTTGCTGGCAGTGAAGTCCAATAAGATGTTTGGAGGTGAGGCTGCCTACTAGAAAACTAAACATAAGCCAAGATGGCAGACAGCATTCCGGAGAGATATAGGAAGTGGTGGGGAGAAAGGCACCTCACCATTTTGGCTCCTGATAAATGGAGGGAATGTGGTTGGCTATATCACCACAGTGGATGTTTTTCCAAAAGAGAAGGCAACAATATGTTCTCAAAAAGGCTTGGGGGGAGGGGGGCTCTGTGGGGATGAACCTATCTCAACTAAAATAAATTGGCCAGATAGTTGCTTAGAGTGCTAATAGTTACCATATTTTGAGGGAAGAAAAAATTAAAATACAAATATTTTTTCTGAAGTTGCTGATTGCATGGTCAGCACCAGTTACTATTAGTTATTTTATGGCTATCCCTGGTTTTTGAAACTGAGATGGAGTAAAAAGCTGAAGACATGTTCACACTACCATCTTAGTGTGTAAAATCTTGACAATCCAGCATAACCAGATAATAAATACTCCTCGCTTCTGCAGACATAAGCGAAGGACGTTAGCTGCTCCTAATTAGACTTAGAAGAAAATTTGGCAATTCCAACAAAAATGCAAGTAAATAAGATTGAAAAATAGAATCCTAATTTCTTGCCCCAAATTACATGATGCAACAGTTTTACAGAATCAGAACAGATCTGGGTGTGTTCAATGTTTGAATGGAACTCTGTGCACATACCTTGAGTTTCATAAAAAAAAGATGAAAAATTCATCAAATAATAAATAATGACCACCTTGTCAACAAGAAAGGGACAAAAAGAAAAGGTCTCCTGATATTCTGTTTTCAAGACAGATACTTTGTAGATGTCCAGTGACTCCATACGTTCTCATCTGGAATCTGCTGTTGTATTCCTGTCTTTCCAAAATTCCAGATCAACTTTGGGAAAAATGTCATCAATAATTTCTGTAAAATAGCTTTGCACATAAAAAAAGGAGTTTATAACGAGGATTGACAATTTGTTGGTTTCTAGATGTTTTAGAGTTCCAACTTTATTATTATTATTATTATTATTATTATTATTATTATTATTATTATTATTATTATTATTATTATTATTATTATTACATCTTGCCATTTATCTTGATTGTTAAGACTAATTAGATTTGGTCCATCACATCACTAATGCCAGCTTTTAAAATAATAATGGTTCTAGCTTTGTGGGAGGGTTGAGTGAAGGGGTTCACTTTCTTGTCATTATTATCACAACCTATTTGCTTTTCCTTTCTTTCTGGGCCACACATACATTACTTCACAAAGAAGAGCATAGGAAAATTTCAGGTAACATGCCTGGTTTACCTTAAGAGAAACTGGTTTGTCCAAGATCATCCAGAAAACCAAATGTCATGATGGAGATTTCAATTTACCATATGCAAACTAGACATTGATCATTCCACAACACTCACAAATGCACATTGGAAAGGCTCTCAATGGACTATTGAAATACCATTACAAAGACTTGATCCAAGCCAAACTTCATTCTAACTTCAGACTTTATCAGCCTATAATATGTGCTCATATCTCTCCTATTTAAAATTTTTGAATCATTTTTTCAGTTATGAAGCTCATAAAATAGCCGTTGAGCAATGAGTCTCTCTCAGCCTACCTACCCTACAAAGTCCTTACATTCTGTAACATTTCCGTAACATTTGTACAAATGTTCTGGTCCTTGAAAGTATTCGCCAGCTGTCAAACGAAAGTTAAACACAAATCAATTTAAACCCAGCTGTTCCACATTTACTAAATAATTGGCTGATGCGACTCTATGCATTGCTAAACCTTAGGTCATGTGACACTTCAAATAAGAAAATAAATAAAATGCTGAAGTGACCACTATCAGAAAACGAAGAATGTGTTATTCTTTTTCTCAGTGGATCTCTTCTTAGGTTTCACAAGGTCTAGGGATATCTTCTGGGCTTGCTATAAACATAGTCCTAATTCTCCCAACAAATGTTGATGCTTTCCTAAAAATCTGAAGGACCCCAGTAACACCTTCTCAGACTGAACGGGAGTTTTTGTGAACTACATATGACTCCATCAAATGCATGGAGAGGTTACACTGATTGATGTAGGATCTAAAACCATTCATGCCTCTGATGAAGACAATTCACAAAAGGTTATGTCGTTTAATAAAATTCATTTGTCTGAAAAGATGCTACCAGAGTCCTCCTGATTTCTGGCTACCATAGTCAAAACAGGACTTTTCTCGGTTCTGCAGTCCTTCCATTTTTCTTTCTTTCTTGATGCTCTGTTTCTGCTCTGACTTCACTCATCATTTACTTACCTGTGAAAAGTAAAGTCATGGCCAAGATGAAGACAAGGCTTCCACCGAAGGACATCCTGCCCAAGCTGAAGTTGATCTTCATCCTTCTGGCTTGGGCCGCTACAATACCTTGCTGCTTTATGAATCTCCAGTCAGGCTCATATATGAAACCAATTGCTCCAGGTACTCTTAAGGAGACAGCTTATATCTTTCCTGTTGGGATACGGGGCTGGATTTCCCAGATTTTAGGGTGTGGTATATTGCTATCCCTTGCATGGGAGTGCCACTCTTTACTGTTTCAACAGAGCAGGTGCAACCTTTAGGAAACATCCTCCTACTGGGAATTTGGCAAGGCAAGTCTGGAATGATGAAAGGACTGTGACCAATCCCCTTTCTTTCTCAGCAAGAAGGCATGGAATCACAAGACAGCGACAATCACTGTGCTAAATTTACCACAACCACCACACCTCTCCCTCACCTTTTCTCCAATTCTAGGCTATACATCCTGCTTCCCAAAAGCTGTGGACTGGTGCTAAAACTCCTTTTGTATTGGAGGTTTTGTGACATTTTAAATAGCAGAGCTGTGAAATAATGCAACCAGGTTTAACTGCAAGATTTTCGAGAGTAGAGAAAATTAGAGAAGAGGCACCTGATCAACGTGCAATTTTAAAACTAGAGCAGGGTGGATAACCTGTGGCCTCAGACCGTGGGGACTGCAGAACTAAAAGTTAATAACAAATCATTAGAGATCCACAGTTTCCTGCTGATATTCAAATACAAAGCCAAATAAGTGTGGGTTTTCATGTATTTACCACACAGATTTTTGTGGTACTACCCACAGCCTTACAAATGTTGCTAAAGTTGCATATACAGTATCATTATTAGACAAGGTTAACAAGCAAGCTTCTCTATGCCCGTATACATTAGGTTACCTGGGCCCTTTGATCTTCTAATGAATAATTTGGTGAGTATCCTAGCTGTTGGGAAACTGCAACCTAGGCTGGAAGGAGGGGGTCAAGTAAAGGCTTAGCTTAGAGTCCTTGCGCAGCCACAAGAGGCATAAGCTTAACCTCTCCCAAGATCCATGAAGCCTTATCTGGTCATTTCCAGGGGAAGGCAACCCATCTGAGGAGATTCTTGTAACCTAGCTAAAGAACAATAAAGTTGCTTACTTTAGCTATCTACGAGTAGCTCTAATTGCTTGAGCCTGACACTAGTTACTCTTTAGTAATAAGCAGGTATACCACAGTGGGAAGATTGGCAATTCTTATTCTATTATTTTGAGTCTTGCTTTGAACTCCAAGGCCTCAAAGCTTTAATGAAAAATAACAAGAACATTATTCTTAAAGAATAAAGAATGTCTATAAATCATGATGTATATTGATTTTAAGGGGTTTGTGTCATTTTTACGTCTCTTTTAGTTCAGTATATTTATGGTTTTTTGGGGGTAGTGTAAGAATGGTTGTCTACAGAAAGAACAAGAAAGGGTAAATGGCAACATATGGGTAGAGGGCCATCTGCGGGATTCAAAAAATTCAAATTGGCAAGCATGACATCTGATTGAAGCCTTACCCCTTTTTTATATCCACTGTGTCTGCAAAGCAAGTCAGAAAGGGATGGGGTTTCAATCATGCTGCTGTAAGTGCTATCTGGACTCCCTCAGCACCAAGGATGCTCCCGCTGTTCAGAAGCACAAAATAGCTAACTACATTGTAGCCATGTTGTTGTGGGTACACTGATCAGGTCATTGGTTGATACTTCAGGGTGCTATATGAATCTAAAATATTGAATTAACTTAGTAAACTACGGCCAGTGAATTCAGTTGGTAGCATCCAAATAATTAAACATTACTTTGTTTGTACATTGAGAGCATTATGCACCAGAGACAAATTCCTTGTGTGTCCAATCACACTTGGCCAATAAAGAATATTCTATTCTATTCTATTCTATTCTATTCTATTCTATTCTCAAAGCTACTCTACTCTACTCTACTCTACTCTACTTTACTCTATTCTACTCTACATTTGAAAATCAAATTGCAAAACATTTGTCCACAGATTGAGAAACAATCAGGTTCAGCAAGGGAGAGACTTGTAGGGATATAATGGTCATCCAAAACGATATGGAAATTTTGTAATAACAGGTGGAAACTGATTCTATTCAATAACTAAGGAGGGTATCTAAGGTGATGTGGAGGCCAGATTGATAACAGCACTTCCCAGACCAGCTTTCCAGCAGCATAACTGGAATATGCAGAATGGAAGAGGAAGTTGCAGAATGTACAGCACATGCTAACCAGCTATCCATTTTTCTGCATTGTTAGATCAAAGAGGACTCACTGTTCTTATTAACAGATGTAGAAGGTGACTCTGGGCAGCATTCAGCAAAAAAAAAAAAAAGTACACAACAAGAAACATGTCAAACACAATCATGTTAAAAATAAAAACTCCCACCCACTAGAGAAGATGTTAATCCATTCATTTTTTTCTCCTTGAAGTTTTATAAATTCTCACACTTACAAATAAAAGCATCTAGATAGATCTAAAGAAAATATTATATAATAATCCAAAATGATATGACTGTTTTCCTTGCAGGCTTTGCAGCTTCCCTATAAGTTGTATATTTCTATTTTTAAAAAAAATTCCTTAAAACAATTTTACATTGCAAGTCGCATGTAAAAGGTATCGTTTATTCAGATATTTGGAAACCTATGACCTGAATAGTGAACAACCAAACCATACAATTTCAGCAATAAAACTAACAATGAGAGCCAATTTGGTCTAGTGCAGTGGTTCTCAACCTGTAGGTCGGGACCCCATTTGGGGTCGATCAACCATTTCACGGGGGTCGCCAAGCAAGGCTGTCCACCATTTTTTTTGTCCGCCTTTTTTTTGTCCGCCATTTTTTTCCCTTTTCCGGCGGGTGCCTTACCTCCCTTGGGCTGGGCCAGCTGGTGGTCGATCTGCTCCGTCTCTGCCGCTTGCCAGCTACGCCTCGGCCGGCGCAGGGGGCGGAATCACGCATGCATGGCGCTCCCCGGCAGGGAAAGTCCTCGACTTATGACCGGTTGGGTAGTCCTCGACTTACGACTGGTTTAGTCCTCGACTTACGACCGGTTTAGTCCTCGACTTACGACTGGTTGGGGTCGCGGCATTAAAAAGGTTGAGAACCACTGGTCTAGTGGTTAAGGTGCTGGCCTAGGAACTAGGAGACTGTGAGTTCTAGTTTCACCTTAGGCATGAAAAACCAGCTGGTGACCTTGGACTACTCATTGTCTCTCAGCCCAACTCACCTGAAAGGATGGTTTTTGGAGGGAAAATAGGAGAAGGAAGGAGCTTCACCATCTTAACTTATTTATAAAGATAATAAAGGAAGGATTAAAAAGTCTAAATAAATAAAATAAAAATAAAAGGCAGGATAAAAATCAAATAATGCCAAATCCACTCTAAAATATCTGGCTGACTATGTGATCAACCATAATAATGGTAAACTAGAGCCAATTCAGTCTTAGTGGTTGGCACACGGCTAGAAAGCAGGAGACTGTGAGTTCTAGTCTTGCCTTAGCCATGAAAGCCATCTGGGTGACTTTGGGCCAGTCATTCGCTCTCAGCCCATCCTACCTCACAAGGTTGTTGTTGTTGTGGGGAAAATAGGAGGAGAAAGATGTGTTAGATATGTTTACCACCTTGAGTTGTTTGTAGCGATAAAGATAGGATAGATAGAAATAAATAAATAAATAAATAATTTTTTAAAAATCCCAGAAAGTGAAAGGATGAGTCTTCATAATAACCACTCAAATGCCTATGAGAAATCCATAAGGATGAGAATAGATCAATAAAACTACATTACATATTCAAGTTCTCCAAAAATAAAAGTATTCAGTAAAATATTGCATAGACCAGGGCTTTTCAACCAGTGGTACGGGTACCACCTGTGGTACATTGGCACCTGGCAGGTGGTACGCCACCATCCTAGAAAAGTGGTAGCAGGGGAGGGGAATGAGCTGAACCGGTGGCAGCACCGCACAAGCCTGAGCAAGAGATGGCTGGAGCTGCAGGGCTGTCAGGGCTCAGCGGAAGCGCCAGGATCAGCGCCAGCCTCCAGCTGGAGCTCAGCGGTGATCCTGGCGCTTCTACTAAGCCCAGAAGAAGCGCCGATCAGCTGGAATGTTGCAGCATCTCCAGGGTCTCGTGATTTACATTCAGATGCTTGGCAACTGATTCATATTTATGACGGTCACAGTGTCCCAGGGTCCTGTGAAGTGACCAAAACCTGCTGCAACCACCCAGCAGACGGGGGGAATAAAAACCAAACACCCTCTCACCCCACCCCCGCTGCCAATCCTCAACAGAAATGCTCACAACAATGGAAACCTCGGACAGGAGGAAGAGCACCACTGGGTGGGCAGGCAGGTGTCTTGCTCGGCTGTGCCTTTTTTCAGTGCCATTGTAACTTCAAACAGTCACTAAACGAACTGTTGTAAGTCGAGGACTACCTGTACTTCATCACTTTTTTCCTCTTTTTTTTTTCTTTTGGTCATCAAGTTTTTGACACTTTGCTAGGCGACTGGTGGTACTCGGATGTTGCCATATCCTAAAAGTGGTACAATGGGTGAAAAGGTAGAAAAGCCCTGGCATAGACTCTTTAAATTAATTGCTGACAGCATGAAAAGCTTGACATTTTGTAAACCTGAAAACTGAAACAAAGGCCTCTCTTTGGGGATATTATGTCCCTAACCAAATATTTTTCAGTGGGGAAAGTTTTTTTTTCTCCTTGTATTCATACAAAGCATGCAAACCATCAGGTTAAACGCTTGCTTTCAACATGCCTTCTCCCTGGGAATTCTGCACTGCCGTTTTAACAGCCATCTCATTTCCGGAATTCTTCGTATTAATTTATTAATTTAATTATTTTCCCATTAATTGCCGTTCCCACATTTCTTTGAGAGACATTATGTATGAATGAAATGACAAGGCAAAGCTAACGTAGTAGTATGCTAATGGTGTGAGTTGGCCAATCTAACTTATTATGTATGAACAGAGTTACCAATGCCAGCAAAAGGTCACTTGTAAGACA